TCAGGTGCAGGGGGTCAAAATCAAGATCACCTGGGTCCTGGTCCTCTCGGCATCCGGCCAGGTGGCCTCGGGCAAGTCACTGCCCAGTTGGTCGCCTGTGATTTAGAGCTCATATACGTATCAGTTATTTGGCAGTGGTAATTCCGTAACTGGGCAGGTGACGTGCTCCAAACGCAAACGCTCTAACGCACATGTGTATGGTCAGTGCGCTTCCTTGGAGGAGCTCAAGGACCCTGCTCGACATTCACGGCTCGGGGCAGCTTGTGGCCTGGGAACAGTCTCCACACGTGGGGCCCCAGGGAGTAAGTCTCTTAAGACCTTTGAGGGTCCGGGACGTGGCTAGGAAACATGGAGAAACTGTTACCCTTTGGGGTGGGAGTTGGTTTGTTTCTGATTCCTCTCCATTGAAATCAGGGCATGAGGTCCCACTGATTCCAAAAGTCTTTGCGGTCCAGGAGTTCTAGAACCGCTAGTTCTGCCTGGATGGAGGTATCCAGTGAGTGGCCGGGTGGCAAAGGAATCTAAGCCAATTTGGCGCGTTAGCAAACACCTGGGTGCTTTGGTAAATATCGGAGGCCTCCGGTACTGGAGGTGGATGAGGCCATGTATCCCCTCACCTCCCCTACCCTGACAACCGCAGTACCAGGTGATACGTTACACTGAAAGGAAATCTCAGACCAGAGTTGGCTAAAGCCTTACGGATGATTTTAGGTGGCAGGTACAACCTGTTGTAGCTCAGAGGAAGGCTTGCTGCCCTTTGGCAGGTTCTCTCTGAGCAGAAGCCAGAGGTATCCTTGGGGCGGGACGGGCCGACCTAACAGCAGAGTTCCGCATCAGGACCCCTGAGGTGGAGGGTGCAGGACAGAAGGCATCCCGGCCTCGAGGGCCGCAGGGGGTGCTGCCAGGCTGGCTGGATTCTCTAACCGCTTCTTTCCAGGCTGCTGCAGCCTGTGCCGTCCTCCTGAGCCAGCCCTTCCTCGACACAACTCATTTTGCCAATGAAAAGGAGCTTTAACATTTCTTGAGCTGATCAAGATGTTCTCTGCCACAGATTTCAATAAGGATGTTCCACGTGCCAAGTCGCCCTCTTCCGCATGTTGATTCCCAGCTGGGATATTTTATTTTATTTTATTTATTTATTTTTCTGAAGTATAGTTGATTTATAATGTTTCAGGTATACAATAAAGTGATTCATTTTATATACGTGTATTCTTCAGGTTCTTTCCATTATAGACTTTTACAAGACATTGAATATCGTTTCCCTGTGCTATACAGTAGGTTATTGTTGTTTATCTATTTTATATATGAGTATGTATCTGTTAATCCCAAATTCTCAATTTATTCCCTCCTCCACTTTCCCCTTTGGTAACCATAAGTTTGTTTTCTATGTCTGTGAGTCTGTCTCTGTTTTGTAAAAAAGTTCATTTGTATCATTTTTTAGATTCCACATATGACTGGTATCACGTGGTATTTGTCTTTGTCTTACTTACTCCACTGAGTATGATAATCTCTAGGTCCATCCATGTAGCTGCAAATGGCATTATTTCATTCTTTTTTATGGCTGAATGATATTCCGTTGTATATCTATACCACATCTTCTTTATCCGTTCATTGGTTGATGGACATTTCGGTTGCTTCCATGTCTTGGCTATTGTAAATAGTGCTGCTATGAACATAAGGGGTGCATGTATCTTTTCGAATTAGAGTTTTCTCCAGATATATGCCCAGGAGTGGGACTGCTGGATCCTATGGTAACTCTATTTTTAGTTTTTTAAGGAACCTCCATACTGTTCTCCATAGTGGCTGTACCAATTTACGTTCCCACCAAAAGTGTAGGAAGGTTCCCTTTTCTCCACACCTTCTCCAGAATTTATTATTTGTAGACTTTTTGATGATGGCCATTCTGACCAGTGTGAGGTGGTACCTCATTGTAGTGCTGATTTGCATCTCTCTAATGATTTGCGATGTTGAGCATCTTTTCATGTGTCTGTTGGCCATCTGCATGTCTTCTTTGGAGAAATGTCTATTTAGGTCTTCTGCCTGTTTTTGATTGGCCAACTGGGATACTGTAGAGGCCACCAAACTGCCGCTGCCCTAACGTATTGCGTAGTGAGTGGATACAGGCGCGCTGACCTCAAGCTGTTTGTAGAAACGGGATTCCAAAGTCAAGTGCCACAGCCACCCACATCCCTGCTTGACCTGGAACATCTTAGATGCTGTTGCCAGTGGATGGTCAAGCCAACGCCAGGCCAACGCCACGCCCAGCTTCCAAGTGAAATACAAGTGTAGCTAGTGCAGCAGGAGCCAGACCCTGGGCCCAGGGGGAGCCTCTTGTTTGGTTTTCCCATGCACAGAACCGGTGGCCCCAGGATTGGTGACTGAGTACGTGGACAGGATCGACCGCCTCCAAAAGGAAGGAGGACGAAGGCTTTCCTTAGCAGCTGCCGTCAGTCTGCACGTGCCTCGCGGGTGTGACACGCGGGCCCGGTGCCGTGGCTGATGTGGACGCTCCGTGAGGGGTGTGGTTCCCCTCCTGCAGTGGCGCCTTGTCACAGGAATGAGCTTGGCGCGCAGCGTTTGAGTTTGGGGCTCGCGGCTAAAGATGGTGCGGGACTTGGCAAAGGGCTTGTGCTAGATTCCTGGACCGCTGAGACTCTAACCCTGGTCTGTCGCACAGGGGCCGGGTGGGGGCACCCTTACTCACGTGTGACCTGTGTTTCTAGTCTTCTGTGTCACTTACAGAGCGAGGTGATACTGTGCATGGTTTGCGATTTTCCTACCACACCTCCCACGTCATTGGAATTCTTTGACGTCGCCGCTGTGATTTCCTGACAGCACAGCGTGTGGCTCTGTCGGAGCATCCTCGACAAGACCTCCCCCCTCCTTGCGCACTCGGGTGGCATCTGGGCCTCCTCACTGCTGCAGACTCTCTTTGTGCAGAAAGCTTTGTTTGCAGTTCGGATTTTCTTTAGGGCCAAGCCCCTAAAAGGGGAATTGCCACCTTTGAGAGTGCGAGCACATTCCTCTTTTTTTTTTTTTTTTGCGGTACGCAGGTCTCTTACTGTTCCGGCCTCTCCCGCCGCGGAGCACAGGCTGCGGACGCGCAGGCTCAGCGGCCTCGGCTCACAGGCCCAGCCGCTTCGCAGCATGTGGGATCTTCCCGGACCAGGGCACGAACCCACGTCCCCTGCATCGGCAGGCGGACTCTCAACCACTGCGCCACCAGGGAAGCCCTCCTCTTATTTTTAATTACACAAGTAATAAGCCTGTACCACAGAAAACCCAGGAGATACAAATAAGCAAAAGTAAATAGATAAAACGGGGTGGGGTGTGAACCTGTCAGAACTGGAGGGAAACGCACCTGTGATTGAGTGCCCGCATTGCAACTGGTTTGTCTGTGACCCTGGCGACTTAGACTCTCTGAACTACAATTTCCTTATTCACACAGTAGATAGTATCTTACCCAGTTACCTACTGTGCAGGTTGAGATGGCGTATGTAAATACCAGCACGAAAAATACACTCAAGAAACCAATTCCACGAGAAAGGCCGGGTCGTAACCTACAGATGCCTGCGAAGCCTGTTGAGGGGAGGGGGACCCATGAGAACCCTGGGTGACAGTTTAGCACAAGCCCACGAGGTGGGAAGGTTGGATGGCTGTGGGCCTGGCTCTTGTGGGCCTGGTACAGCACCCTGAAGAATTGGGGTTTGTTCTGTAGGTGATATGGAAGTGGTGTTTTCGTTAGTTTGGTTTTGCTTTGTCATTTTGGATCTGGTGAAGGTGCTGAGAGTAATGATTGGAAAGCAGTGTTTAGGAGGATTAATTGGGGGCGGGCGAATCGAGGGGATGGGCCACAGGCAGGAATATCCCCCAGACCAGTGGTAGGGCCACTGGTCCTACATTCAAGAGTGCTGACCCTCCACCCTCTCAGGAGCAGGTGAAAAAGCTCCGAGCTGAAGAGGAGATGTGAGCCTTTAAGGGTCAGTGGAGATTTTGGAAGCGAGAACACGTATGCAGGAGAAGACGTTGGCCGTGTTCGTGGTGGTAGCTTGGTGGCCGGAGCACGGTGGTTTGTGCTTCTCCATCTCTGATGAATAGTACCAGGTACCTGAGACCGGGGCTTGCTGGCGGTCAGAACTGCAGAAAGTCACTCACGCCCCGTGTCATTCTCAGGCGCTTGTCTCTAAGTGTAGCAGACCTTTGACCACTTTGGACGGGGGAGCCCGTTTCCCTGGCCTGGCCAGCTATTCCAGGCAAAACTAATCAGGCTTTTTGCCTCAAGCTTGTTTGTATTGCTTTGGAATAAAGCACTCAGAAAATAAAACAAGTCCCGCTAACCCAGCAAGGCGAGTTCCAGAACCAGCTGGAGAAACTATTGTGATTGGCTGCGTCCCCGGTGGACCCCTCGTTCCTGCGCCCAGGGGGTAGCTGCAGGGCTGACTCCAGAGCGCCTGAAGTGGCGCCAGCTTTTTGCCAAACCGTGAGTTTACGCTAGCACTGCCCTCTGGTTCCAGAATAATCCCTCACATCCCAAGCCGATGCTTATTTTTGTCCAAATGCTTGCTCATACGTTTTCCCAACAGCAGCCCCGGGAGATGTACAGAGCCAGTGTGTCTCACTCCGGCTATCTCCTCAGAGGAAGGACTGAGGTTCAGAGAAATGGACCTGGGCTGCTGTCACAGAATATTTGTGTTTAGGTCTGAGAGGACCCAGAGGTATTTCAGGTGACAACAGGGTGACTGCCACCAGGGAGAAGTTGAGATTATGAGGCTCCCACGCCACGCAGGGGAAGCACAGGGTGGGTGAGGAGGCATGAAGAGTGGGGGAAGATGTGGTTTCTGTGGGAAGGAGCAGGCGAGGCAGCTGAGCCCGCATAGCATTGGCAAGTTTGAATAACTTCAGCTCTGGGGGCTGTGGGTGCAGGGGCCACCCTTGGTTGTCTGGTCCATGGAGGGGTGAGAGCCAGATGGAAGAGGTGAGGGGGTGTGGGCTCTGCATCTGCTGGTTTTCATGAGAAAGGTATGCTCCCAGGGGAGCAGTTTACTCTCTCTAGGGATTGGCGAACCCTGGGAGGCCTCAGACGTCAGAGCATCAGAATTACAGGAACTAGGACAGGGTTGATACAGGCAGGGACGATGTTGCCTTCTAGATGTTTGTTTGCAGGTAGTCTGGTCAGCGTTGAGGGTCTGGGGTTTCAGATGGGAGTTTGATTAGCAGAGCCTTTGGAAAGGGCCTCAGCCATCATTCTTGCCAGAGAGAAAGCGAGAACCCCAGGGGGTCCAGGTCTCTGAAGCCATCACGCTGCTTCCCTCTGAAGGGAGACGGGGGCCGTGCAGGGGGCTGCGCTGGCAGGGGACTTGGAGCTCAGATGCCATCGACTGTGGCATCATCAGCCTTCCTCGCCTGCATTTGTCCTGCTGCCTTTTTAAAAGACCTTGCTGGGCCCTCCCTCCTGCCCCCTTGCCTGTGTAGTAAGGAGTTGCCTCGGCAGCAGCCCCCGACACGGTGGTAATGACAGCTTGCTGCAGTCCCGTCAATGAGGGGATCTGCCCGTGCACTGCCTGCATCGTGAGCTCCGGCCAGCAAGGCTGCCGCCTGCGCTGTCTCGGGCCAGCCCATGCTGCTGCCATCGCTTGTTGCACTGCTTTGGGGACTGGAACACACCCAGCCGGGTCCCCATCTGTTGCAGACGTGCGGCGGCGGCGGCTCGGAGAGCAGCTGAACCCTAGAAATCGCCTGTGCTGAGGGGGCTGGGAAACCCTCCCTCTCTCGGGGACCTTTGGAGCGAGCGAGGCAGCAGGATTTTTCAGAGCCGGGGGCGCTGTGTCTCCCCCATCACTAGTGAGCCAGCGTTTCCCAGCCCTGCACTTCTGATGAGCACCCGGGAAGAGGAGACCTCCAGGACCACTTGGGGCTGAGTAAGCAGACCTCCCGGAGCTGGATTTCCTCATGCATGGTGATTGTACGTTCGGGGTGGGGGGTGGGGGGGGAGGGGGGAGCTCTGTTCTCTCGTGATGCTTTGTCTCCGCCGCCGTATGCAAGACGGATGCTGAGTTCTCGCTTTGTTCCTTGGGAGCCTCTCGTTAAATTAAACACCTCCAGGCCGAACCAAATGTTCCTTCCCTACCTAGGTGCTGTGTGTTCTCTCCTTACGTAACTTTTTCTTGGTGGTTCGGAGAATCACTCGTGAAGGTGGCATGGTACGTGCGTGGGCGCATTCATCTGTGTTCCCCGTACGAGTTCAGTCCCCCCTCCCCCTCCCACCCACCTGAGTGCGAGGTCTCCCCACACAATCCCCCACCTGCCTGAAAGTTCCCTAGCTGAAATCTTCAAGTCTGACGTTCCCTGCTTTTCCTCTCCCTTCCCTGAGTCATCACTGATTGAATCTGTCCTAAACGGAAAGGATCGGGGATGCTGCAGGGACCCTTGGGCATGGCCCCGTGGTCCCTGGGAAGGCCCTGGACCACATATTCGCGTTGGCTGGTCTCCTGCCCTTGGAGGGTGAGCTGTCGAAAGCGTACTTGTTGCTTTTAACTTCTGGGAAATACATTGAAGAAACAGAAAACAGGAGGAGGGTGGGGAAAGACAGGAAGGGGAGGAAGAGAGGATGGGAGATGTCCTGACCCACGACTGAGCTAAGGCTGGTCTGTTGTCTGCGGGAAGGAGGAGGGTGGAGGCTGAGAACCGGAAGCCTGAACTGGCGCACGGGTCTGCAGAGCCACGAGTGGAGCTGCGGGCTGGACGGGTCGGACCGGAGACGTGGCCCAGGCTCGACCTCCACCGGCACTGGTGCACACTGCTTTGAGCAAGCCACATCGGTTTTCCTCTGGGGCTTTCTTCCCCCTACAGTCCCCTCCCATAAGCCAGGGGCTGCACTAGTTACGGGGGGCGAGAACTTGAGCTTAGAGTCCCCGATTGCTGGTATTTGAGTCCTGGTGATTGGGAGAGATGGGTGGGGATGGAGTGGGGTTATAATAGAATGAAGCTTGAGCCTTTGCTTCTGAATTTACAGTCTAGTGGGGAGAAAAGAGACTATGAGACGATTCAAGACTCGCGGGCTGTGGGGAATCAAGCCCTGGATCGTGGCAGACTCTAGGTGATGAAAGACAGGTCCTTGGGGTTGGCCGGGGGCAGGTGGGAGAGGGCTGCGCAGAGGAGCTGGGACTCGGCAGGCGCCCCCGGGCCTGGGGCGCAATGGGGTGCAGCAGATGGTTCTGCCTGGAGGCTTACGTGCGAGAGCAGGGGAGACCCCAAAGCATAAACGGTGGGGGGACTCTCAGGTGTGACGAGGTAAGAGGCCTGCCGGAGCCGAGGGCAGGGGGTGGAGAGTCAGCACATGAAGCTTCCTGGGAGTGGGAGAGACACAGGCAGTGAGCTTGAGCCAGCCTCCGTGGGCTCCGCTGACCTATCAGCCAGGTGACCCCTCGCCCTGAAAACAGCCCAGGGAGGCCTCGTCACCCGGCCTCTCAGGACCGGGCTCCTTACCTCTCTAGCTGCTTCCCCAGTTTGCATGGAAACTTCCAAGGGCTCAATCAGTCTAAGGTGGGGTGTTCTGTTTTCGGTTTTGTTTTTACCCACTATTAAGCCTATGAGACAGATGTAAGCTCCTTTTTACAGAAGAGGAAACAGAAGGTTAAAAGGTTAAATTCATTCAGGGAAAATAACTGAAAATCTAGGATATTTAAGGTTCTTAATCTTCTTGCCTCACCTAAAGTCGCAAGCGTTGAATTGGGAAGAGAAGCCAGGTATCCTGAGGCCTGACTCCCTCTTTATTGAGGAGTTGAGTGGAGGAAGGGGGCTGGGAGACAGAGGATGGGTGGAGGGAACCTCATCCCAGGCCTTGGGCTCCTCTTCAGGGCTGGTCCCCAGGCTGGTATTGAAATCAGATCTTCAGTGAAACAGTCTCTTGAGTCCTACGTGCCAGGCACTGGCCGTTCCAGGATGAGAAAGACATGTGGTCTTGACGTCATCAATGAATGGTGCTGAACAGCCAGGGATCCCAGAGGTGTGAATTTTGGGTTCTCATTTCGGCTCAGCTGTTTCTGATTTTTGGTCTTTTGGAGCAGACACAGTTTTTATTTTATTTATTTATTTTTGGCTGCGTTGGGTCTCCGTTGCTGCGCGCGGAGTTTCTCTAGTTGCGGTAAGCAGGGGCTGCTCTTCGCTGCAGTACGTGGGCTTCTCATTGCAGTGGCTTCTCTTGTTGCGGAGCACGGGCTCTAGGTGCGCAGGCTTCAGTAGTTGCGGCGCGCGGGCTCAGTAGTTGTGGCGCACGGGCTTAGTTGCTCCGCGGCATGTGGGATCTTCCTGGACCAGGGCTCGAACCTGCGTCCCCTGCATTGGCAGGAGGATTAACCACTGTGCCACCAGGGAAGTCCCAAACACAGTTTTTTTAAATTGAGATATAATTGACATACAACATTATATTAGTTTTAGGTGTACAGCATAATGATTCCATATTTGTATATAATGTGAAATGATCATCACAATAGTTAACATCCATCACCATCATAGTTACAAAAAGATTTTTTTCTTGTGATGAGAACTTTTAAGGTCTCCTCTCTTAGCAACTTTCAAATGTGCAGTACTGTGTTATTAACTATATCAACCCAGCTGTTAACTAATGGAATCCTTCTTGGATTTTTCCAGCCCCTCACTGCTCTCCTTCAAATGACAGAAACCTTATTCTTCCTTTGAAAGTATTCCAGGGACTTCCCTGGCAGTCCAGTAGGTCCCAATGCAGAGGGCACGTGTTCGATCCCTGGTTGGGGAACTAAGATCCCACATGCCACGTGGCGGGGAAAAAAAAAAAATGTATTCCAGTCTCTCCTATCCCAAGACGCCCATCCCCTCCTACCAAACCCCTTTAGCACTTCCTCATATGCTGCCCGTGGGCTAATATAATTTAATGCCTATTCTTTTTGGGTTTTGCATTATTTTGTATTAAGTTGTGTTCATTTAGTTCTTGTAGATTGATTCAATTGATAACTCCCTGTGGTCAGTTGCCCCCCACCCCTGGCACTGTATGGACCCTGTGGCCCATGTCTGGTCATGAAAGCACGCATCTCAGCTCTCATCATGGGTGGTGACTTCAAGAAAGCAGGGCAGGACCTACAGGCAAGTGGCTTGCTGGAGGCTCTAGCTTCCCCCCCTCCTTCAGCCCTTTTGTCTGCCTGGACCAGACTTCTTTCCCAGAGCATGACTTAAGGTCCTAGAGCCCTAAAGCGGTTTAACGAGAGACTGCAGAGCTCTCGCCTCGATGACTAAAATTTCAGTTATGAGAGGGGTGTGATCAATTTCCTCTTTAACCCCAGAGCCCTTGGGCCCTGGGCTTGGGAGTTGGACTTGAGTCTGAATCCGTGTCCTACTCTTTACCAGCTGGGGACCCAGGCAAATTATTTCATCTTTCTGCACCTGATTTTTCTTCTAAAAATGGAGATAACAATAACTCAATAACCACTGGGTTGGATGAAACCAGCTGACCAAGGGCCAGTTCCGGGCACGTAATAGATGCTCAATGAGCAGCAGGCCCTCCCTTTAGGTGGCGGTCAGCTGTGGGGTTCCCCTGCTGAGCCCAGCAGAACCTCTCCAACCAGGACCTTGAAGTGACCTGCTTTTCTGAGTTCCCTGGGTCTGTTCACTTGGGTTATTCATCAGGAAATCGAGGCTGGAGGGCTCTGGGTTCTGTTGGGTTCACGTAGTTCCCCTGCGGCTCCAGTCTGGCCACTTCTCCATCTGTCCTTGGTGACGGACACATCCGGTTCCTCCCCCCGGCCTGCCTGTCCTGTGTGGACAGGTTGTGCCCTCCGGTGGGTCATCTGCGTCTCCTGTTCATCCTAAGATACAGCGTGGTGGGAGGTGGGGAGAGAGTAGGAGAAAAGCAAACCTAGACCTGGGTTTCGTTTTGACTTTACTCTGCGGGCAAGGTACGTGCTGACATTTTACTGTCTCATGTCTGCTTTTAAGGGTGGCTTCCATATGCCTGTGATCCTGGCCCAGCTCCTCAGTTAGAGCCTTGCTGTGCAGGTCCCAGTAAAGAAGAGAACAGAACCCGGCGAGGTGGCCGGGACACAGCAGGCCCACCGGCTACAGGCAGCACCACATCTACCCCTGGAGGGTTGGGGGGTCCGGGCCACCCAGGGCTTGCAAGTCAGTGTTCAGCGTTGTCTCCCAGCCCACTCCTACTTCTCTTCTGGGTCCAGGGCTCCCAGTATCGGGTCTCACGGCTTCTTGGATTGAGAATCAGACATGGAATCGAGGGCAGAGGAGAGACAAGAGGAGGCACCTCAGCAGACTCATAACCCAAACAAGAGACATTCTCCTCGACGGGGAGCTGCACTGACTAAGTCACGTGCAAAGTTTTCACGGCCGAAAGTAAAATTGGGGCCGACACTTGTGGGCATTTGGGGTGGTCTGAGACGTCCGTGGTGGAAGGGGGAACCGGGATGGCCTGTGTTCAGGGGAAAGGTCATAAGGAAACAGACAGAATGTTCTCCTCACCTAGGGTAGGGACGGTGCACAACCCTCCAAATAACCAGGACCAACAAGCAGACTCTTCCATGAACCATAGTGGGTGTGGGACTGTCTCAGGAAGGAAAAAAGATGACAAAACATGAGGTATGATGCATCAGGGCAAAAAGGCTCCTTCCGCACGGGAGTGAATCTGGCCCTAGGACCTGGCGCCACAGTTCTGGCGCTGGTTGAGGTGGATGCTCCTTTGCTTTATGCAAACCGTGGACACCCGATGGCTAAATCCTGCCCGCCCCGTTCTTCTTATCAAAGCTGGGAGATGTGGGAAGACATTTCTAGAAATATTTTCACCAGAAAGGATCAGAAGGGTGATTTCTACTTATCCAAAAATCAGCTATAATTTTTTAACTGCCATTACTGTTAGCCCTTCCCTACCCAGCTTTGGCAGGAAGCAAGCAGTTCTTAAAGGTGAGTTTCTGGATGATGGAAACT